TTTTTAAAGGTACACTAGGCTAGCATTAATGATTTGCCCTGAATAAAGTTTTCTTTTGTGTGTGCGTGTGTGTGCTTGAAAGTTTCATGTTGCTTTGTTTTTTAAAGTTCATCTTTAAATTCATGTCTCAGTTACCCGGTGACTCTTTATGTGTTGAGACTCTATGTTTATAGGAAAGAAAACTCGTGTTGGCTGGAAGCTCATTGCGAGATTTTGCTAGTTTGGAGCTTACAAGCTGTTTAATATCTACAGAAAAGAGAATCACTGACAGTTTTAAAGAGAATATTAAACAAGTGTGGATACAGGTTCCTGTCATATTTCAGATCCTATGACTTAGGCTTTTGAAACGAAATCTAGTTACCTCTTCAGGACATTGCTTCATGTAAAGCAATGCACAGAACTAATGCGATTCAGCACCTGCAAGTCCTGAAGTTGTTATTGATGTAAATATAGGTGTATTAGCTGGCTCTCAGGAGTATGTAACCTGCATTTTTTACACTCCAAGGAAGGTCCCTTCTCCTTTTAGCCCTGCAGTTAGCTAGAGGCCTCCTACATCAGCTGACACAGAGCTCTGTCTCTTGTTTSTCTCTGAAGTACTTTGAAACCAACCTAAGATGCCCGAATCATAGATGAAAAGGAAACGTTAAAAGGATCTCCTTGGATGTGGCTGCTTTCCTCTGTATTTTGCAGCTTGCTTGGATTGTTCTCCCCAGTTAAGCTCTGCACCCCAAAGCACGGGTGGCAGCGCCTCTCCATGTGAAAGGCTGGCTACAGCTCTGGGCTGCCGGTTTGTTTTAGCATCTCCTAGACTGTGGATAGTGTCACAGAATCACAGAATATTCAAGGTTGGAAGGGACCTCTAGAGATCATCCAGCCCAACCTTCCTGCTCAAGCAGGCACACCTAGAGCACAGGGCACAGGGTGGCATCCAGGCGGGTTTTGAAGATCTCCAGAGAAGGAGACTCCACAACCTCCCTGGGCAGCCTGTTCCAGGGCTCTGTCACCCTCACAGTGAAGAAGTTCCTCCTCACCAGGAGATGGAACTTCCTGTGTTTCAGCTTACGCCCATTGCCCCTTGTCCTGTCGCTGGCCACCAATGAGAAGAACTTGTCCCCTTCTTCCCTGCATTCTCCCTTCATGAGCTTACACATGTTAATCATATCCCCTCTCAGCCTTCTCTTCTTCAGAGAAAACAGGCCCAGTTCACCCAGTCTCTCCTCATACGACAGATGTTCCAGGCCCTTAATCATCTTAGTTGCTGTCCGCTGGACCCTCTCTAGGAGTTCCACGTCCCTCTTACACTGGGCAGCCCAGAACTGAACACAGTACTCCAGGTGCGGCCTCACCAGAGCTGAGCAGAGGGGCAGGATCCCCTCCCTTGACCTGCTGGCAACGCTCCTCCTGATGCAGGCCAGGATCCCATTGGCCTTTTTGGCCACGAGGGCACACTGCTSACTCATGGTTAACTTGGTGTCAACCAGGACTCCCAGGTCCCTCTCCATTGACTGCTTATCAGGACTATGAAGTCTGTAAAGGGACATGTTTATATCRTAGAACCTGGCAATTGTTGATTTGGCAAGAGCTCTGTGCTAGGGTAGCTGTTATATAGTGATTTACTCTTACTGCTGCTCAGAAAACATTTTAGGGAGTTACAGGAAAACAGATAAACTTCTGGATTGTAATTGTACTTACTAACCTTGCGCGCTGTTGATGAATTATTTTTGTTGTAGCAGAAGGGCTTTTTCTTTCCTGCAACAGCATAAAATGCCTCTGAGAGAATGACCTTATAAGCATGAAAGCATGCAGATAAAGCTTTCATTTAAGTTTCTTATTCATAATGTTTACTTTAGATATGGAGTGCTTCAATTTAGGTATGATTTAATTCTTCAGAGAGAATACATTAAATATCACTTTCTGATGTTTCAGTATTTTCTTGAATGCAATAAAAGGTTTGTGGTTCTTGAGCTTTAGGTTTAGATCCAAGACACAGTACTATTCTTCAATAACGTCTCACAGTTGGTTGCTGGTTTTTATTGCAATGTTAGGTTCTAAGGAAAATAACTCTGAAACTACTTCTGTGAGATCTTGCAAAAACTTCCTTCTTTCATGAATATTTATAAAAGATTTTCCTTCCAAATTGTTAGTTCTTTTTTGTAGCATTATGATGTATGTAACTACTAAAAGTAGGATATAAATAAGGTAAATACAAAATACTTGTGGACACTGAATTTTAAATGGAAAGCATAAACAATTGGAAGAATGGATTAATTAAAAGGATTCAAGTATTATTATGGTTTAAACTATAAACTAAACTGCCATGACTAATCAAGAAACAGTACTTGTTTCAGCTAATTATGTTGAATTTCTTCAGGAATTTCCTAAAGTAAGCTTGATACCAAATATGTACTATTAGGTAGTGTGGAACTGGTATTTGTTCATCACTTATTTGGCATTTAAATGTATGTTTTCATAAAATATATTGTGGCATTTCAAGCAAAAATACTGTGGTTATCCAATCTAAAACACCTAAGAACATATAAACCTCTCCTAATCTGCTGTAGTAAAAACCAAGGATATTTTGCAATATGACAGGCTAATTGCCTGTTCTTTGCTGGTGATTGATCTCACTCACATGATTAGCTAATTGGGCAATTTGTAGATTCAGACACTGTCAGTATAGAAATCTGCCACACAATACAAATAAAATATACTGTATGCATTATACCTCTTTTTTTTTTATTTATTTTTTTGGTAACATGAATGTATGCAATAATTTGTCCTGCTTWTAAAATGTTTGCAAGCATATGTTACAGAGGTGAAGATAAAGGGCCTATAGCTTATTGTGTAATTACTGTGCACAAAGAATTGCTTTGTGGTTATGATGAAAGTTATTATTCTGCCACTGCTCTTCTGCCAGTGGACTCATTTTTGCTGATCCCTTCTATTAATATATTAGCCTCAATCTTTGAATATAGGACTTAAATCCTGAGCGCACATCACAAGTGAAGAGAAAGGTGTTCACTTCCAAGTCCTGAGAAGGCATTTTTTCCACACGATAAATTATTTTGTTCTCAATTAGTGATTGTTGTTTTGGGACTGTTAGATCTGAGTTCAGAGGCATGTACAGTGTAGACTCTCATTCATCATTGTCCTGTGATATAGCTACATCTGGCTGTATAGTAAGGAAAAAGCCATTCATAAAAATGGCATTATGAAGCCATTCATAAAAATCCTACTTTTCCGAAATGGTGCTGTTGTTTTCTTCCTTTGAAAATCTATGCAGTCGTAAATGAGACATGACAGAGGACAGTCAGTTGCAAATGGAAGGGTGCCAGATACCCTAGTGCACTAATAATGGTAATGTCATTCCGTGTTACAAGCTCAAGACTAAACCAAGTAGTAAATACATGCATGTAGTAATGACCTATATTATTAAAAAAAAAATCATGTTAATTTATAGAAATAATTACTAAGTGGTGTGTTTATTCTCCGAGGAGAACACTTTGGATATCTTAGGTCTCATACAGTTYTAAATGTCTGTCTGTAATGATTAATACAGTGTCATGTGTTAAGATAGGGTTATCTTTGTATTATGTTCTCCAGTAACTGGTTTTAGGTCAAGATTAAGATCTGATTAATTTGAAGGATTAACAAATTGCTATTATTTGGCAAGCATTTGCTTTTTGTGAAATGAAGAAACCAAATGTATCAAATATATGGCCTGTATTCCTGGCATACTATTTCATGCAGAAATGCATGACATTTTTAGTGGGAATAATTAAAAAAGAGGTGTACTGTGCAAACTGTGCATGTGTCAGTGTTTGTCAAGTGCACACATATACCCAGGGCACAGGCAGAGAAGATGYGCAGTACTACGTATAGAAGTGGGAGTGGTGGGGACAATGCGGTACTTACAGCTTGYGTGGCATTTTCCACAGTACTGCTTGCACCAGTCTGGTCTATATTATATTTGGCTGTAAGGTATGAATTAGCGAGAGAATAAGATTTAGTCTTTCAAGCAACATTAATCCATCTAAATATCACCAGTTTCCTTTTTAGTTTAAGTGACATAATTTACTGCGTCACTGAGCTCAATAAATAATTGATCATACTGCTTTCTTCAGTTACCACATTACCAGTTTGGGGCAGGCTAATGAGTCTGTGCTTATTGCCAAATATTACTTTCTGTGAGATTATTGTCAGCGATGCTGTCACACGACACATGCACARTTATTGACAGTTCTATCTGCTGCTCAGGAGCTGTTTTCAGGGTTGAGGAGCTGTATAACTGCAGGAGAGCTGGGCACCTGAAAGGAGGATGTGTCTCCTTTCCTATTCTGTTTCATCATGCCTGCAAACAGCACCTCATTGCTCCCATCTGTATCCTAATTGCTCTATAATCTTTCTTGCTCTTGGCTGTTTTTGGTTGGTTGAAACAAATTCCTTGTTATGCCACAAYACTTACTATGGTTTTGGCTCGGGTGATTTCTGTCCTAGAGATTGTTGGTGTAGTTTTAAAAATATAGCAGCAATTAACATTTCAAAGATGGAGGTACTTGAGCTACCACCTCAAAGCTCTCGTGCTTCCCACAGTTCCATCATCTGGCTCACAAATTCCAGATGGAAGATGCTGGCAAAGGTAGCCAGCTGTCTCCTTTTCTTGGAGCAGCATCTTAAAAGGCATCAGCTGAAGATTACTTGCCTTCTGCTGGTCATATCTCAGTTGTTTCTTGAGATATGGTCTTGGCCAAGCTTAGGCAATCAGTAGTTGTGCAGTGGTTTGCTCAATGTGTTTTGAACAAACGACTAAGGGGGCCCAGAGTGGAGCTCTGTGACTCTTAACTCGACACGCAGCTGGGTCAGGACAGCTGAACCTGACTCAATATGGGGATCTCAGTGTGTTGTTGTTGTTATTTTAAATAAATATATATATATATTAAAAACTGCAAAATACAGCTGAGTTATTCTAAAATGTTTTTTCTCATTTTTTGCTTTGATAGTATCAGGACACGAATATGCAAGGCGTAGTGTATGAACTGAACAGCTACATAGAGCAACGCCTGGATACAGGAGGAGATAACCAGCTACTTTTGTATGAACTGAGCAGCATCATTAAAATAGGTAAGAAAGAGAATCGAGTGTCTCTGAGCTGTAGTAACAGCTAGGTTACAGCATGGGTGCTGAGCCTCCTAGTTAATAAATAAATAATAAAGATGAGCATTGGGGGATAGCTGTGTTTTTGTCTCAGAATTAATTTATTCCGGCTTGGCTTTTGTATGTCAGTGAATCTCTGACTGCCTTTAAGYAGGCTTCTGCTCGGGAGCTGTATGTCCAATTTCCAAATTAGAGCCCCTGGTAAATGAACCACAAAATGGATTATACTAGTTATGATGATATAGTAGTCCATACTGAAGGAAAAAAATACTTTATGAAAAAATGCATACTTTAATCCCTTTTAAAAAAAACAGATTTTTTTTAAAGGCCTTTAGTTGAAATTAAATTTAGTATTTTTTTTCTATGTGTAAGTACTGTTTTTAGTAAGGAAAGAGTGTGCATAGTATGCATCATTAAAAGTTAAGAAAATATTCCTAATAGCAAAGTAAGTGTAAATGTTTTCAAACCAGAGTACAATGTACTCAGATTTCAGTAGGTAAAATCAACGCCTTTTCTTGAGTATACTCTCAAGCTGCTCTGTAGAAACATTATCCCTATCCTTGCTACATTGTCGTTTTTAATGCCAAAATAATTGCCTGGTTTATATGTACAATATTTCAAAAAGACCATGTCTGTTTACTCTTTTCCCTTAAGTGGTTATTTGGACATTAATGTCTTCCCACAGGAAATCAGAACTGGGTTTTATTAGTATGAGTGAGAGGTTAGAAGGGGCAGGGTCTGATTATCTTTTACAAATGGCTTTTTATTTATTTATTTATTTATTCATTCATTCATTTGTAAAGTAGATAAGATTTAAGAAATTCTTTTGTTACAGTCTTCTATCTCCTATAGCTCAATGTGGTTATATGTTACAACTGGAAGATTTAAAATTTGATTACAAATTACCAGGCCCTGAACTCTCATTGCTATGACATAGGTGACAGTAAGCAAGTAACTGGGTAAGAGGGTATTTTCTTTTTCTTCTGTTAAGCAAATGCAGAAAAGCCATTGATTTAATTATCTACAAAAGTAGAGTCACTTTCCTGAAATGTACTAAATAGATTCTTGTGTTTATTCATAAAAATGAGATATCAGATATGTATATTTACTGATTATAGCATTTATTACCCRTTGAAAAGAAAGATCTACTTATACTCAAAGACTCAAGCGTACTGTATATAGCACAATAAAAACATTGGCCTCCTTTCCCCCCTTCAGATTCTGAGAATTTTCATTGTAGCAATAAGGCACGTTAGTTAACTTTAAACTTTTAAATTTTAAAGCAATTATTTTTATTCTRTTTCATAAAACAATTTGATTCTGGCAAAAAATGCTGAGAGGTGCCAACTTGCTGGTGTGCCTGTGTTTTTAATGAGGCAGATGCAGAAAATAGAACTGGTTTGTTTTGAAACATACTTTATGGCAATATTTGTAACATTTTATTTTCCCATACTTTTCTATCCAAAGACAAGGACAAATATAGCCTGCCACCTATAAATAGTGCTACTTTTGCTCATGGAAATTATAATGTTATTTGCTTGCCTGTATTGTAGTTACATGCACTTAGATGGTTTCTATACTGTCATATGAACTAATATGAATTTATAGGTATTAGACCTAGGAAAAAGACACATAAGGATGTCATTGCTAATTAGCTTTTAGAATACATTGCATGGGAATGGGGGAAGTATTATCCTGTACTTCTAAATTGGTTGGGCCTGGGGAGTTTCAAGGGACACAGCAATAGACTTTCACTTCTAGAATTTTAGATGTTTGTCCTAAGTGGAATTGAATCTGTGGTTTCACCTCAGAGAACTTGCGCAAGTTCGATTCTCCCTCTGAGTACAATTATTTCTTTTATTATTGCTTTGGCAGCTACAAAAGCTGATGGATTTGCACTATATTTCCTGGGAGAATGCAATAATGTAAGTATTCTGGATTTAAGATGGCTTCTTTTTTTTACAATTGCAAGTGCATTTTCCCCTTTTACGATCATATTTTAATTTTATTTTGTACCTCACTTAGCAGGAAATACTACCTAAGTGCTGAGTATTAACATGATTTTTATTTCTGTGTAGTGGAAATTTATTGAATATAGCGGTAATCAAAAATGTTTTCTGCAGGTGTAGTGCAGTTCYTTCTCCGTGTTTAGCAATTTAACTTTGGATTGGGCCTGTTATTAATTGTTTTTAACAAAAGCAAAACTTAATTAAAACATACTGTCAATGTGAAGGATTCTTTTTGTCTGTTTGCCAGCTGCAACTTGAAAATGAGATGCTAAAAATTTCAGAAATAGGTTTTGATTAATGTGAAGAAATAAATGGTACATTTAAAATTAATGAATCAAAATAATTTCTGGTATAAAATAATTGTCCAGAAAAAAAAMCCCAATAACAGTGAGACCAATATATTATTCCCAGGAGCATACATGCTGTTTTATTATTTGACATTTAAAATTCATTTTTTTTTATATCCAGATTAATTTATACAGAAAGCATAACACAAGATTTTGTAGCTTTGAGTATCTGCAAAAAAAAACCCAAAAGCATATTTCATATTTCATCAGAATTCCATCAAATTAAGTCATAATTTGTGACACAATTTTATGCCTTCCTTWTTTTCAAGAAGCAAGTTAAATTCTTTTAACTGGAGAAGACTAGAGAGGAAAATATTTTTCTCATTGTTTTTGTTTCCTCTACCATACACAGCCTGTTTTAATAGTTTATATAGTCCATTAGCCAGTTTCCTCTGCTCTTTGTGAGATAATTGCATTCAGAAAAAGGAAATAAATACCATTTGTAAAATAATGAAAAATGAGATTGAAGATGTGTGGACTGGTGAGTTTTACCTGGCCTAAGAATACTTATCATTTGTTCAAGGTAGATGGTGTGTTATTCAAAGGAGGTAGAAGATGACAAATGAAAAATCTTTCACAAAGTAGGAAATGGCTACAGGTTTTGTATTTTTTAAAAAACTTATAACTACTTCATCTTACAGAGAGAAATGATTTTTTTTTATTCAGGAATAGGCCCTATTCTAAGTGAGATGTAAATATTGCAGATATTTTGTTCCTAGTTCTCAAAGTAATAAGTCTAGTTTAAGTAACATCTTGCTTCATCCTCTGTGAATACTAGTTTTGGTTCTCGGTAGTTCTCTGGCCAGCTTTAGTAGCAGTGATTGCACACTGGCAAATGATAACAGTAACCTCTTACAGTAAAACTAACTTTGCACCTTGAGAAATTGTGCTGTGCATTTTCTGCATTTTATATATATATATATATATATATATATATATTTTTTTTTTTTAATAGTCTTTTGGGCAGTTAAGCCTATTTGCTTCCCAGTATATGTAATTCTTCCGTAAGAAAGTCCTACCTACTAAAAACACACACTGACTTTCTAAGCCACTGCTGTGTAGCCACATCACCCAAAAAAGAATATTCTTCATGTAGTTATTACAGGGAGTGATCCCAAGTCCTTTGAAGCTAGTGTGAGTTTTTCCATTGACATTAGTGGGCTTTGGGCCAGACCCATATTTATTTTCACGTGATTAGCTGGTAATGCATTAGCCTACCTTTTGTCTGAAATTGTCACTGAAAATTAATTTGGATATCTTTGAGTCTTAAATATTAAATTTAAAGCATGTATCCAAATTACATCAAGTGCTGCCCAGCAAATACTATAAGTATATTTTTATTAAATGTATCTTTGTTGATTGAACAAAAAGATTTTATATCGCATAAGCAGCAAACTGGGCTTGTTCTATAAGTTGATATTAATTATTTTATTTCTAACATGATAAAAAACTTAGTAAGATAGGCAAACCACTTGCTGAACATCTATGACTACATGTTGAAAAATGGTTTCTACTTTTTCGTGGTCAGTTTAGATGCTTGATTTGAGACATAAGCTTCTTAAGTTCAGCAAACTCTTYGATTTATTTATTTATATGTCTTAGCATTTTGCTTTTTGTTTACTACCTTTAGAAAGATACATAAATCTGCCTGCATTTATGCAGACAGGAGCCTCATGTTTCAGAACTAGTCCTAATATAGCAGTTATTCTTTCATCCTTTCCAAAGGAACAATCTGTGCTCAGATGCTGCTTTTCCTGTGTGTGCATCGCTCTGCAAGAATTGTGTAGTGGGAGAGGACTGTGGAAGGAAGGGAGATATGGATAATGATCAGATACTTTCTCACAAGTGTTTTATTTTTTTTTTTTTAACCCTTAGTAATGTGTGTTGTAACTACATCTAGGGACCTAAGGATCAAAATGCAAGTGAGGGCATCAACTCTTCCTTGTTGTAGCTCCTGCTATAAATATGTATAGGTACATTTGTGTCTATTTAAAACCACAAAACAATACCTGAAAATCTTGATGTGCGTTAAGGATCGTTTTTTAAATCTGAAATTTCCATAGCTGCATTTGGCCTAGATTAGATTACGAGTCTCTGATAAGGACAGATTTTATAGAAATTTTAAGTATTTACAAAATAAGAAACTTAGCTTACCATGTGCTATTATTTCTTTGTATTGAAGGAAKAAAATTGCTCTAAGAGCTATTTTTAAGTGGGTTATTAAAAGTTCAGGGTAAATCTTTTTTCAATTCAATTATTGATATGGACATCACTTCCCTTACTTGAACGTTACATTAGAATATTATTAAAACATTTGCTTTGAAGAAGTGAAAACTTGCTTGCGTAATGAGGGGAAAAAAAGCCCCTGTATTAGCTTGTCCTTCGGCTTTGAGAGGAGCATTGGTTTTTACAGGAGCACCTCATGTCCCTTGGAGTTTACCGAGATGAGGTCTCTGATTGCAGGTGGTGTAAGTGCACTGCAGGATTCAAAAGGAAAAAGTCTTGTCGCTTTTGACTTCCATGAGTTTACTAAAATGTGTATGCTCCATTTATAAAGTTTCTCCATAGCCTTGTTTGCTTTTTCTCTTTGGAAATCCACAAAGCTACAACTTAACTTGTGTTAGATTAGGATAACAGTGTAAGGACAGGAGGTTTCTGGCTGATGCGTTCAGGGGCTTGGGTTAAGTGAATTTCCTTGCAGTGGAAGCTGCCATAGACCASTTACACGTTAGAGAGCGTTTCCTTACTCAGCCATTACTCACACTTGGTGCCAGAATGAGTGTGGATAATACTGCTGTTCTAGTGACCTTCTGGTTGTTCAGGTTGCTTGGAGGTGGTYGCAGTCCATACTAAGGGTATCCTGACACCATGACTCTACTTCTTAAATGATTGTCCACAAGCAGATCAGGACCCTTTGCGTGTCTACCTCCATGCATCCCTGTAGAGGAAAGGATTTTGCTTCGTTTCAGTTTTCTGTTTTAATCCCTTGTGGGGGCAAAGAAACTTTTCATGTTACGACCTTAATTGAATATCGTCTTTAAAAATGTCTTAAAGGTTTTACTGGAATAACAGTGTTTGATTGCATGGATATACAAATCTATCTAAGTGTCGTGCTAGCTAGGCATGGATTTAAGCCCATAAGCTGACATCTTTACAAGGGAGTATTTCTAAAATACTCACCAAAGCCCCAGAGTTTCGAAGGCGTTATTATATTAACTGATTCTTCAGATGCTTCTTCTGTGTAGTCCTTATTTGTGTGAGTAATTCGCACATGATGACATTGTGATTCCTACATAAAGATGTATGAGTTGGAATTTAATAGGCATACACTTAAAGCAGCTTTTACTAGATCTTGTGAGCATTACTTATTTCCCAAAACTGTAAATTGCATTGACAAACAGATCATCCTTGCCTCAGATAGGGGTTTACAATAGCTTTATTGTCAGAAATTGTGAGGCCACAAATACGTGCACACAGTTTGTGCTTCAGGGTGTATGTAATTAAGCTGTTCCAGAATTTCTGGTCCCCCAGAAATGGTTGCAGCTTGATGTGCAGTGCCACCTAGTGACTCCGTGGCGGGACTTGAGCTTTAGGAACCAAGGAGCAGCATCTCATGATGGCCAACCATCTACGCGTSTCAGGTTGTCTGGGCCAACCTGAGACGCGTAATTTTCAGCATGGAGGCATCAGGTCTGAAAGGCAAGTCTTTCGTTATCCGCATTTCCAAGTGAGCACTTCTAGTTGAAAGCCACTTTAGAAAATGTTGGTGTTTATCCTTGAATTCCTTGAATATCCTTGAATTCTAATTCTTTTTGTGTGTAAAGTAAAAGAAATATATTGCTTTCTTACTTGCCAGTAAATAGGGATACTCAGCAGAAAGGGAACATTTTTGATGGAGAGGAAGAAATATTTAATGTTGTTCATCACTTTTCAGTAATAATAATAAAAGATCAACAGTGGTCAGGTGGCTGTCATAATTAATATGTGAGACAAAAAGGGAAGACCTCAACTTTGAATTGGGAAATAAGAAATTTGAAAGTATTTTCTGAATTAAATACTTGTAAATTGACAAAACATTTACCATGTGAAGCTAAATAGTGTCTAATGGATCTGAGCTGCCATCTGAAATAACAGAAATGCTAGCTGAGTTACAGGAAAGCTGGATTTAAGGAAATCTAAAGTTTAACCTGGGGGAAGACATTAGAAAGGAAATGGAAAGAATTGTGATGTCCCAGTTCAACTTTGAATCAATACATTTTCAAAATGTATTTTTATTCAAAATTTATTTACAGCCACAAACTGAGGCACCAAAAGTTCCACAGGAACTTAAGGAAACGCTTTTTGACAGTGAGGGTGACAGAGCCCTGGAACAGGCTGCCCAGAGAGGYTGTGKAGTCTCCTTCTTTGGAGATCTTTAAAACCTCCTTGGATGCAGCCCTGTGCCACGTGCTCTAGGTGACCCTGCGTGAGCAAGGGATTTGGACTAAATGATTTCTAAAGGTCCCTTCCAACCTTAAGGATTCTATGGTTCTATGAAAATGGGAGAAAATGAGTGYCAAGATGCATTTTAATGGAATTTTGACCCCTATATCATTTGCTGTTCAGATGGACTGATRAAATATGGTCAAGCTGAAAATTTTACAGGTAGAGCACAGAGCTGTTTGGAAAATTATTCAGGAGACTAGTTATTTGTGGTTCATTATCAGCATGGAAAAATGTGTTGGATAAATTCCCAGATGTGTCTGGATAAAGCAGATGAGGAGAATTGTGTCTTTTCTATACCTAAATGGATAGGGCAAGAGGTATCGGGCTTAGATGCGTAGTAGGAAAAGCCTCTGCAGCTGTGGCTGTACTGCAGCGTGTTGCTGGGGAGGGCTGCCCTGTCCTCATCACGGGAGGTCTTTGAGAACAGTCTGGATAAATCCATTTCAGGAAAAGCTTAGTTGTTTTTGCCTTAAATTAGAGGAAATAGGAGAGAGCAGAGTTAACTTAGCTTTCTGTATCAATGGACTGGTATAACTGTTGAAGTGTTCCTCAATTGTGCAAGTTTATCAGTAAGTTTTCAGGTATGAAATGTGCTTAGAAATTGATGCCAATTTCAGAAAAGTGTGTAAAACAAAGCATTTAAAACATTTAAAAACAAAACAAAAAACTCTGCTAGTTCTTTTACAGCATAGAAGTGCATATCTTCATTTCACAGTTACCTAGAATTTGTCCCTTTCCCAACATATTTCCAATATCATTAATCAATGCAAATCTCCCTAGTATATAGTTATCAGGGTTTTTATTTTTTTAAAAAAAGTATATAACTACTTTTTAAAGCCTTTTTTCCCATTCTTTCTTTAAGCTCAGACACAGTTGCCTGTAGCTCTCCAAGTTTGGAGAGCTCTTGCCTGGAGRTACTTTCCAAATCACTTCTGGTTTTGTTGCTCATCACTGTTTATTGTGATAAGATTTATTTATGCAGAATGGTTGGCCTTATTTACCTGGTCTTTACTTTGTCTGCAAATAATTTTATTGTTCACTGTGTGATATTGCAGTAGACTGCCATGTACTTTATTGAGAGTAAAAATTTGCCACTATTATTGAAAAGAATACGGTGAGTAAATACCATAAAGCAGACTAATATCAACTTGCTTAATTTCAATTTCTCTTTGATGTTGTTCTTTTTATTTCTTCCCAAGCATCAAGTCATACAGCAAAACTATAGTATTAAGGCTTCCATTTATTGCCAATTGAATAYTAAATCATTTTTCATTACATGCTTTCAGAGCCAGTTTTATCTGCAAATCTCACTGTGAAATAAACTCGAGCAGGATTCAGTTGCCCTTACCATCAAAACAGCTTGTTAATGGAATGCTTATCATTACTTCAAGTCTTGTTCTAATGATTAAACCAGGCTGTTATCTTTGCATAAAAAAGTCTGATTAAAAAAAGAAAAGGTTGGTATTTGCCTAGTTATAAGAAATGTTATTAAACAAGAAGACACAACTGTGTAGCTTGTGAAGTTGCAAACAACACATGCATGCAGTTCAAACCTAGGCTCATAAAGCTTAGTTGGATGCTTCCTAGCCCTTGTGGCTTCTGTGGGATTCTGGAGGGCTAGGGCGCAAGAGTCTCTAGAAAAATGTAGTATTTATAGCTATAGTTGCCTTTCTCATTGGAAAAAATGGAGACTGGAAGCATTTGGAAACTGCAGATACTTTCTTGGTATTGAAAGGGTATCTGTCAGGAGCAGTTGATGGTACAGGTTGRGAGACTTGGGTGGCTACTCCATATCTTTTCTTTTACTGATTTTGATCTTTTGCCTCTGTTAAGCATTAGATTTCCACTAGAAAAAAAGAAATTCCTCAGCATGGTGGGATGARTATCAGTAATTCTGCATTCTCTTAGTTGTTACGAAGGGGGCTTTTTCAAACACAGTAAGAGAGATGTAAGATAAGTTCATATCTCATATTTCCTACAGGCTAAGTGCATGGTATAAAAAGCCATGGTACTGTGGCTTACTTGATACATACTAATTTGGCTGTGGATCTGAAAGCTAAGTTTGCTGTGTTTAACTGGTAGTTGACTCTCTTGTTAATACCCTTTAAGAACCAATTAGAGGGTATGTCATTCTTCATTCGTGTGAATTGGAAGACTTGTTAACTCATTGGCACTTAAACTAGGAAGTTTCACTAATTTCAAGAGTTTTGAGTCCAGTTGCGTTGATCGGTCATGTCATAGAAGGCAGCAAAGGAAGGACTTTTGGGGGACTCTACGTTTTGAACAGTATCTAGGAGGCTTCTGCAGTCAGACTCCAGTGCTCTGCTGAGAAAGTACATTTAAAAGCAGAAGTCCTTCACCACTTGTTGAAAAAAAGATAGATAAAAGGATTTCTGGAATTTTCTTTCCATTCTATGGAAAAAGTTTCAGCTTGTATCTGGAAGAATGGGTAATTATCAAAATATCATTATACTGATTTGTTACCCTTGTTGCAGACACATTTAAGGGCCTGCAGAGTATCAGAAACTGAGATAGCATCAGGATATCAGAATATTTTTTTCTTCTYCTTTTTTTAAACATAACATTTTTTTAAGTTGCTGTTAAAAATCATCTCGTTCCTTTCTCTGATTGTCAATTAGTTCTCAGAATCATTACCAGAAATGCAGATTTTTCTTCTCTGTTTTTGAAATAAATATTCAAAACTACCAAGAAAAGTGCAAGCAATAAAAAAAAAAAAAAACACCCAAACTATCCATTTCTTAATTTACTTATGAAACAACATACTACGTCGCTGATATCTGTATGAGAACTTGTGTAATTACTCTTTGAGCTGATGCAGGATAATTTGAATGTAAATATGTGCATATGTGAATTAAAAGGATGCTGGAGTGTTTCATGGCTAGGACACTTTGAAAGATGAGCCCTAATTTTTATCATTTAGTGCTTTTTGAGTATTTTGTAAAGAAAAAGGAACAATATGCAACATGAACTGCTGCTCTTGGAAACAAGTTTTCTTGGCAATTCTGTGACTGTTTAAAAGCAGCTCTCACTTACAGACTGCTTTGTCTTGTGTTATGCGAGGTAAAAGAATATTTTAAAGAGGATGTGATAAGGACATTGTTTTCCAGCACATGACTGTTCCTTTAAGTATATGATTCACCCTAAAATGAATTTAATCCTAGAGTTGAAGGGTGTTTGGCCTATAGAAGGGGTGGCGGGTTCAGCTTTATAGGTGCTTATTTTTCTTTTTGTAGTACAGTAGTTGCAATTCCATGWATTCAGTGGTTGTAACTTGTTTAAAATTTTAGTTTTATAAACCACTTACAATATGTTTCTGGACATAACTTTTATTGTGTGATGTTTTGGTTAGGAAGCAAGTAATATGCTTCTTCCAGTACCACAGAGGAATATAGTCCCTTGGGTTTGAGGCGATGCAGTGCAAGATAGGCTTGAAATAACCTTTTTCTTGGGATGAGATAAACAAGAAGTTTAAACATCATCTCTACTTTTTGAGCATTTTTTTTTTACTAAAGTGCGTTAGTGAATGCATCCTCAGGAGGGTGACAGTCATCTCTGTGACTCTCAATATGATGCGTTATATGTTGAAGAAAAACACAGTCTGACCCTGGTGTAACCAGTGATGGACCTCAACAGAAGAGATCCGCTATGCCACTGGTGCATTTTGRGTGGAATTTCTTAAGATGTTGACAGAGTTGAGCAGAGCTTATCCAGTTACTTCCCGTTGTTATTATATCCTTTATTCAGTATTTGGTTCTGCACATGTAACACAGTAACTCTGTAATGTAGGCAAACTTTCTAATGGCCTTTTCTTTTTTTTCTCTTTTTCATTTTATCTAGAGTCTGTGTGTATTCACACCACCGGGAGCTAAAGAAGGACAACCACGGCTCATTCCTGCAGGGCCCATTGCGCTTGGCACTACAGTATCTGCTTATGTAGCCAAATCCAGAAAAACTTTGTTAGTAGAAGATATTCTGGGGGTAAAAATAAAAGCTTTCTTTTTTTGATGAAATGAATACAATATGTTCTTAGAATATTTTGGTGCTGACATGTTTATTGAGCTGGATATATAATGATATTATTTACACCTGCTCTAYTGCTGAGGAAATAAGCTTGAGTTTGGATTAGCTTGATGGAATAATTTTAGAATTGTTTTCACTTTTAAACTTTTTTTTTTTGTCTTCAAACTTTTTTTGTTGTTAGAGAATAGAACTAATGGTACCACAGCTGCTTGGAAAGAAAGACACTATTAGTCAAAACTACTAGCTTCCTGGTTTTAAAGTATTCTGTGTGCTTGTCCCAAACATAAGATTTCTATATAGTCCACGAGAGTTGATTTAATTTTAACACTTGGCTCATGCTGATGAGGATGTCAGTCAAAATTCTGATTATTAAACAAGATTTTGATCTCTACTTATACTAATGTTAGAGTGCTTAGAATCATTTCAGTAGACCTACAACAATTGTAATCTAATGTAATTGACATTTAAACACAGTCCTTTTCATGTAAAATATCTGATAATTCTGACTTGACTTTCTGATAACTCTTGCCACTCTGTATGTTTGGGTTTCTTTTTTTTTAAGTACATTTTTTCTAGCTGTGCCTCTGACATTATATCAAGCTGATAACCTGTACGTTATGAGAATTGAAAGCCAATTTAAATGCTGTCTTGATTGTGTTCTACTTTTTAAAATTTTGTTCAAAGTAAGAATTTTTGGGTACTGTGACCAAAATGGAAAATCGTTACATGCAGTTTAAAAAGTACTTGTTTAAAAAAAAAAAAAAAAAAAAAGGTCTTCACTGCATAATAAATGTGGGTCACGAGTATACTAAATGCTTAATTTGAGCCCACTTACAATAAAACTCCCCAGAACCCTTTTTGTTTGTAGTAACAGTTGGTACTTCCTGTAAATCATGCACTATGAAGCTTTTGTATAGCCTTAGTCTTAGGACTTAAAGTGTCATTGGTAATTTCCAGTTAATATTGTATAAGGGTTGCATGATTCAATTTTACTTTCTTGATAAAATGAGGGAGATTAAGTGCGTAGGAGTTCTGAACTCTTTGGTGGTTTACAGTATCAATGTATTGTTGACTGAACCTGAGACTAATTTCCTCTTCTTAAGTGATCTTTGCATGGTCACATTAAATATCTCTGTCCATACAAAGTGCAGATACTAGGATGCATGGGTAGGGGCTACCAAAAAGAACCTTAATGTGTACGTTCTCAGAACGTACTTTTGTTGTAAAATTCAAGTTGTGGCTCTCTGCAGAGGCTTTGCTGTCTGGTACAGAGTTCTCTCTATCGGGGCACTGGGTAGTTGCTTATCCCGTGATTTTTGGGTGTGCCTCAGAAATAAAAGGGATTTTTTAGGAGTTGCCTCAACTTTTATGTAGACTAACCAGCCCTTTTCTGTAGAAGCCAGAATTAAAAATTTAAAGCAGGAGGCACATATTGGAAAGTGCTTTTCACACTCTTTTTCTGAGACTTTGCGAGAGGCAGTTGTGTGCATCCCAGCCACTCCAGTTTAGCAGTGAAGGTGCAGATGTGTTGAGGAAGCAGCCTTGAGGAAAAGGGGATGCCTGCCTTTCCTTAGCCCAGCCTGTAGAGATCAGCTGGTTGGAATAAAGTATCAAGGGACTGGTGTGCAACAAAGCGGGTCTAGCCTACCTCAGGTAGGCTGGCTACCACACTGCTGCTAACTGCATACCCACTGACTTGCTGCATAGGTTTTCAGCCATAGGGAGCTAAAGCTGTAAACCCTTGGCCATTCCCTAGTTGGATTAGAAGTTAAAAAATTAAGCCTTCTCTAGTAGCAGCTGATAGAACATGCTAACCTGTGTTTCTGTAACTTTGGAGCAGGTTTACTCGGGATACATAAGCAAGGGAAGGATAGATTCTTGTTCATGCATGTTTTTTCTGGAAACTCGGATTTGTCCTCAGTTTTTGGTTAGGGTTGTAACTGTCTATTACTCAAAACTCKGTGCCAAGCCTTAGGTTTTTGTATTTGTCTTGTTGCAAAGGGCTTCAGGTGCTTGGTAACACTTAAATCTGAGCAGCCTTCCTCATAATTACAGGTGCCTTTTGCTTTCTTTTTACATAATCCAGGCTGGCGTTAGCCAGGAAGTGCTGCCCTTGCTGCCTGTGAGGTTGGAGAAAATCTGCTTAAAAACAAACACCAATTTGAGTGTAATACCATAATCAATTCTAACTGCATCTATAAGTTTATTTGTGTGTGTAAATTATGCAGAGAAAAAAGAAATTGTGAACTTTTTGGTTCTGGTTTGCCTTAGGATTTCATGCTGATTTGATCAGCCAGGAGAGGGAGAAAAGCGTCAATATAACTTTCATATTAATGTTATGATATTTACATTTTATCAAACTATGTTTGCATTTTCTAGGACGAACGATTTCCCAAAGGTACTGGACTGGAATCAGGGACTCGTATCCAATCTGTTCTTTGTTTGCCAATTGTCACTGCAATTGGTGATCTGATTGGTATCTTGGAGCTTTATCGTCACTGGGGCAAAGAAGCCTTCCATCTTAGTCACCAAGAGGTGAGACCCAGTCTTCTGTAGTTTGTTTTAAAATTTCCCACTTCAGGGCAATGTTCAGCACTTCAGACTCCCAAGCTTGCTTCTCTTACTCTTCTTCTGAGTCCTTTTTACCTTATTCAAAACTGATTTTACAATTATTGAAAGTTACTTACTGAAATAATAGTTAATGATTTGTATTTTCAAGAACATTACATACACAGTTATAGGGCATTTAATTTGTTTTATGAAAAAATAGTCCTGAGGATATGATTTGTTTATTGTTCATAAGCTCAAGAAGCTAGTCAGTGCAGAGCAGATGAATGAAAATGTGTATATATGCAATTATATAAATAAATTTCTTTATGTAAGAAGGACACTACCAAGTTACCTCAAATAAAACTTTTCAGTAAAGCTTTATTTTACAGTATGGAATGACCTTTTTTTTTTTTGGTATGGTTTTGTCAAGTATGATTCAGCCCTATAATGAGCCCTATGATTGGAGTTTATGTTGCAAAATTGTAGTAACAGTATAGCAAGTCTCAATCCTAGATCTTACAGGAGGGGAAAATTATTTTAAAACAAAACAGATGTAAAAGAGATTTCACTCATTCACATTCTCATACCCACACACTCACAGGCACCAAGGTGTGTTTTTTCCAGGAGTCAGGYACCAAAACTGATGTATCCAGGTAGTTTCTCAAGGATTCCTTGCAATGTGGTGGAGAACAAGGGATGCCATCTGTAGAGTCATGCCTCCTGCTTTCTTCTTAAGTTGACAATCGTGACATTGCTACATGCTGTTCCTAAAGCCCTCTTCCTCTTCTGGTGCCTCCAGTCTGGATATTTTCATTCATATCATCTTCACATTTCAATCACAGTTCCCTGCCTTATGTGATTTATTACTTAAGGCCTGTGGATGGCCGTGTGTGTCCATCTCACRTTCTTATGTGTTGTTAGTCATGCACAAACAAATAAGAAAACAAAGTTCATCACTCAAAGGCTGCAAGTACTTTAAAGGTTTCAAAACCTTTATGTACCATCTCCTTATAAGATGACTCAAAAAGGCATCATTTCTCTCTGTACCCTTATTTTGAAGGGAAGGGAATTTGAATTCAAAGACTAGAAGGAGCTGAGGTGTATTTCAGATGTATTGTCTGTACAGTACAGGATGCACCATGGCCCATATAGGCTCTTCAGGTTAGCCATAAGAAAGAGTAATTATTTTGGGAGAAAAAATAGAAACTTTTGTCCATAGAGGAGATCTTCCTAGAYAGGAGAAAAAGAAGCGCAGAATTTGTCTGTTATATATTCTGTCTGTCAATAAACCAAGTGGTCTGATCTGATGCACATGATTGTATGTTGGCTGGGCAGTCAGGACATGTGTAGCTTCAGCCTTGGTGTGACACCTGGTTTCTTCTCTCCAGCAAGTAGAAGTCCTKGTACAGGGCTGAGATATTGTGGTGATGCCCGTATGTCACAGGGCAAAGGACAGGACTTCATACAGAGCTGGGCTTCATTAATTCTGCTACTTAGACATAGTTTGTTTATTTTAAAGTATTTTTCTATATAATAATTACCATTACTCAATCTGAAATTCATATAGGTTTCAGATATGCATTGCTTAATGCAAAGCATCTGTGTATCTTTTGTTATATTTAATACCTTCCTTAAGCTAATTGATGTTGTATTTGTGTGTATATATATGATTATTGAATAAAAATGTTTAATTAGTAAATTAAAAATATTTGAAGGTCACTTTGTGGGCATTCTGAAACATTCTTTTTCAGATTTCAGGAAGTCTTCGGATACCATTAGTAATTTTTACAAAATGTGCACAATATGTTCTGTYGAAAAAATGTACATTGGGAGGATGCGCAGCCTCAGACCTCTTGCACTTCTGTCCCCTCTGTTCCCATAAAGCTCATGTGTTTCAAGGACAGGAGATTATGCATGGTAGCACATCTTGGTTAACTGCAGTTTACGTGACATTTGTTTGAAATGTTGCCTGGAAACTGGCATACTTAAAACACTACTCTTGTGCTGAGTGATGAGGTCTGGTTTTTCTGCAACCAAAATAGTAGTGAAAGGACGAGTGGCTGTTAGAGCTGCAAGCAGTTGTGCCTGTGAAGGTGAGGCCCTAGGAAGATGCTAGGGGGTATTTTGCTCTATGACTGATTCCTTTCAGCAGTGTATACAATGTCCATACAATTTTTAAAGCCCCTTGAATTATGGGAGGGTTGTTTTTAGTTTTTATATTCCTGAGCTGATGAAGAATGTTGATAAGCATCATTGCACCACAAAAAATGAGGATTATTTTCCTGTGGCTGAGTGCACCTTACTGAAATCGAAATACCCACAAGTATACTGCAACTTGCACAGAATAAGTGACTTCCCACAAAATGTTGCCACTTGTCTTTGTCTGAAACAGCTCCATAAGTTTATTTAGCAATTTGATAGAGAAACCTATGATGTAACTGGTGTGAAATTTTCATCWGAGTTCTGTTTTTCCTCTTTTGTTTCAGGTTGCAACTGCAAATCTTGCATGGGCTTCAGTAGCAATACATCAAGTACAAGTGAGTGTGGGTTGCTTTTCTTGTTTACATTGTGTAGAAATGTGCCTTATATTCCCTGTTAAATAGTGGTCTGTACTAAAAAGAATAATTTTCCCTGTTAAATAGTGGTCTGTACTAAAAAGAATAATTTAAACCCCTTCTTGTGATATGGCAAAAATATGCTAATATTTCTGGTGTTCTTTGAGCTGGTTTTCCTCACTTGCAACTATGAATCAAATGGTTTAACAAATCATTTTATTAAAGGAAAAAGGAACTCAATGAAGTAGAAAATTGTTAAAATAGAATTATAACAGTTTCACGGTCTATACTTGGGAGGAGGCAACTGCTAGGCCACCTGGTAGCTTCTTTTCTTCCCACAGTAACTCAGTTAGAGGTCACTAGGTTTAGCTGGGTGCCAAAGCCTGTTCTAAGCCATCCCTGCTAACCGATTATTGGTGCCCTATCTCCTTCCCCTGCGGATGCCTCATGCCTAGCTGCTCTAGCAAACCCCGGCACAGGGTTCATGTCTCCSCACAGGGTTTCGAATTTTGGTGACAGAAGACAGGAACAGTGAAAACAGCCCAATTGTACCTGGTTACTGTATTATATACAAGAGTCGGACGTGCGGATGCAGCTTGTCATCTTTGGTGGTTATTTATAACTGTATTGCGCAGATACAARATATAAATCATACTTCATTGTGTAAAAAATGCAGTGGAGGCTTGCTTTCTTTTTTTAACCTTCATGTTTGATTTAGTAATGCACAGGTGTTCAAGTATACTTTTGATACAAAATACAAAATTCAATGAAGGAAAAATACAGTTCAGAGCTTTGTTTTATCCAGTACTTTGTTTTTAGAGTATAGTATGCATACATTATTTTTAGTCTTCATATTACAGTTGATTTCTCTGAAAGATAAGCATACATTATTTGCCTTTATTGAGAAAAAGGTTTAGGCAAGCTTGTCTGATTTCCTCCTCCATTTGTGCCTACGTGCGCCTTTGCAACCTGGAAAAACAGTGGTAAAAGAGTAGGGTAAAGAAGAAAGCAAACAAAATATTTACCGTTCTCAGCAGAGCTGAGGATTTGGATGAGGAAGTAGAGTTAAGTTGATTTTGTAACCACATTGAGGGCAGTCTGTGAGAAAGCACATACAAATGTAATCACCAACATGTTTGAAAGAGAATTAAGAAAGGTGTTATTCACATCTGACATTTGTAACTCAGCAGATAGTCAAGATTGAAGCCCAGTGCACAATGCTAGCTTTGTAAGAGATTTTATGTACTGCTGTAATATACATATATTTCTAGAGGTTATTTTTTAATATGTGTTAAACAAGTAGACTACGTGATTTCAGCTTCCCTCTTGCTTCAGTGTTCTCTTGGAACAAACACTAACACGATCTGCACTTCCAGGTGTGCAGAGGCCTTGCCAAGCAGACTGAACTGAATGACTTCTTGCTTGATGTATCGAAGTAAGTGTGATTTTTACCCTAATCTCATCARTATTTGTTTGTTTTTTCTAACTCAGCTTCTCTAGTTCACCTGATTTGCAGTGTAGCCCACACACAGATGCTATACACACCCCAGTAGGCAGGCAAACTTAAGCACAAGGGCAAGAATCAACAATGTGGATGGCAGTAGTGCATCTCTAGTGGTGTTATTTTTATTTTGATATAGGGAGAAAGTGGAACATCCAGCTACACCTTACAGAATTTATTTGCTGTTGTGTGTTTTTTTTTACGTATTTTCTTGGAGTTAAAGATAGGCGTTTATGGAAAAGGAACAAGTAGGTTTCCTATCTCCTCTCTTTCTTATCAATTTTAGAAGGCTCGCATGGATTTTTACAAAAAAGATATATTGCTTGCTTCACCCCTTTTTTATTTTGATTTATATATACACTCACATATACACTCACATATACACTCGCATATAAATACACGTGCACACACTTGCATATGTATATATCTTTCAAGGCTATAATCTTGAAGAATCAGAGCTGCCATGCAACTATTTTTCCCTTTTATTTTCTGGAGGCTCTGTTTTCATTTTGCAAGAACTGTCATTCTGTGTGGTATGTTTTCTTCTAATTATTTGTCATGATAAAGGAAAACCTTAAATTGAAAACCCAGGAAAAATATGAAAGATTACTTTTAGTCCTGTGAAGTCAATTTAAAATGTCTTAGATAATCTATTCTTTGTGCGTCTATCATTATCTTAAATAGTAGAGATGGCCAATAAATTAAAGGACAAAACAAAGTTGTAGCTTCAGTAAATCAGCGAGTCTGGTGTGCTTGCAAGATTTTATCAGTTCATGAAGGACTGACAACACTGCAGAATAGTGAATGGATGTATAGTGTTGCAAACCCTTTCTCTGAGTCCTGATCAACAGTTCTTAAATGGGTGAGATTTAGCAAACAACCAGGTTTCCCTTGCTGCTGGTCAGAAAGGCAGGTAGCTGAATGGCCTCTGCTGAAAAAGAGGGAAGCAATTTAGTCTTTGCAAGGAGGGCAAACTGGCTAAATGCATATGCTTTCCCCAGGTTACTCCTAATAATGTCATTTCTTTTTCTTTTTCTTTTTCTTTTTCTTTTTCTTTTTCTTTTTCTTTTTCTTTTTCTTTTTCTTTTTCTTTTTCTTTTTCTTTTTCTTTTTCT